TATATATATATATATATATATATATATATATATATATATATATATATATATATATATATAGTATAAGTATGTTAACGCATGTTATTGTAGATTTGCATGTTATTTTGTAATGTATATGTATATATTGAAATTGAAATTTATAATGCAGGACCCCACTGAAAAACACTTCGGTGACGTGGGTATCCTGGATAAATATAAATATAATAATAATAATAATAATAATAGATCACCTTTAAATTTATAGATGTGTTATCTATACCAAACTCAATTTTGTTCAATTAATTAAATGGAAACGCTATTAATTGGTCCACCTTGCCTGACCCTGTAGCTTCCAAACACTATATAAACTACGAGCATTTTTCGCTGCTAACTGTTGTGTCAGCCTGTATTAAGCGACGACGTCATCTGGCAAAGCGAAAGCGAAACCGATTTATACGCGAACAAGCGAAAGTCGCCATTCAAAAGGTTAAAATATACTATAACTATAAGTAGCTATACTAATTCATTCAATTCATGTGTCATTTTCTTATAAATTAAGCGAAGCGACACTCGCTATGAAGACCTATGCCAATGGAGGAAAGTTTGATATATATAATTTACGAATCAAGTAAGCCAACTTTCAAAACATTAACCTATTACTATCTATATCGGGCTATAAATGAAAGGGCCATAAGCCAAAGGCAAAGGGTATAAACCAGATGTGCTGGGCAAGTTTATGCTCACGTAGGTGCTATGACGGAGCGTAATAAAAGCAGGCACATTGATCAAGTAAACATTTATACTTTAGTTTTCAAAGTGAAAGTAGTGTTTATAAAGTACTGTCTGTAGTTTGGGTGTAGAAGCATATAGATTATAGGCCGGTTGAATGAAGACGAAATTCTCAATTCACATATTAACTTATAATTCTTATACATGTTTGATGAAGGTTACTTAAAATGATAACAGGCTACTTACATTCCCTTTTCTCAAAAACCAGAACTGCTTTGCCATCCTGCAATTTGCAAGCATCAACATCTACATCGCCGCCTCCCGACTTTGTGCTGGATTGAAAATATATTATCAAATCGTCAAGGGTAATCTCAGCCGGTATATTGTTCACGTAAAGTGAGCAAGACATCTTTATTTCGCTCAGATAAGCATTCTAAACTACGTTGTTTGAAACCACATAGCGACTGTATATTTGTTAAACTCCTGCTTGTTATAATTTTGTCATATCCGGCCGAAAGGTAAATATATTCTTCCGGGAAGTCCCAGACAATTCCGAGTATTTGATTTGCATATTAATAGGGCATTGCTAGATAGTACACCACAAGCGACCCAATCTCAGAATGAATGATCAGGTGTTGCGGGTTTATAACGGTTTTTATAAATAAATTTATAGTCAACCAAAACTATTCTAAAAACTAGTCAAATAAATACATTTTAACAATACTGATATATATAGTTGACATGATAGTATAATACCTTTGCATTCTTTTAATTACTCCATGAGCTCATTCAGAGCGGTTGATGTAACATTTTCTGTGGCCTACATTGTGTTAGCCTGTGCACATCCTGTATTACCCTGTACTACACAGAGCTTCCACTCGGAAGGAAATTTCCTTCCAAAAGGATATTTTGGCATTTGGAAGGAAAAATAAAAGGAAATGAGATTTGGAAGGAAATTGGAAGGAAATTCGGCCATTTTGAAGGAAAAAGGAAGGAAATTTTACAATTTGAACTTTTTCAGTAATTTCTAGTAATTTAATAATGGTTAAACACTTTACTATGAACTTTTGAGTTCAAAAACATGTATAAAAATAATACTTCGGATATTTACATAGCCATCAAGGATGAATGGGGGTAATTTGGGACATAACAGGTCTTCAGTGGGTGAACAGAGTACTTGTACATAAATAACGCTGGCTCAATTTTTTCGCCGGTTTTTATAAAATGAAAAACAAACAGACGAAAAAAGGGAAACTGTAATTTCTAAACCAAAAAAAGTAATTTATATGAGTCGACTTCTGAGTCAAGCTCATCAGAAGATGAAGCTTCAAGTAGTTTTCAAATGCAAACGGTTAAAAAGCGTGCAGGATAAGTGCCTGGTCCAAAAGCAAATTCATAAAAAAGTCGTTTATAAAGTAAATCGAGAAAACAGACAAAAAATGAGACAACAGAACATTTTTCAGATTAATTATCGTTATTCAAATTAATTTTGAACGGTATAGTCTATTGACTATTTACTACTCTACTCTGTAGTGAATAGTGATCTGGAACACTAATGTTGGATGCTTGGATTTTATACCGTACAATGGTTACACGTATTATTACTACTATTGAAGTTGGCTGTAAACTTGTAATCCTAAAGCTTATATCTTAAGTGAATTATTTTTCTAATATTAAATTAGAGATTCACTATTTGAATACTGCAGTACACCTTCAATTTACATCGGGAGTACACTACACTACAAAATTTACTATACTATTTTAAAAAAATTGGAAGGAAAAATGGAAGGAAATTTAGGATTTTGGGAAGGAAATTCTGCGAAAAAAAAGGATAAAAACGA